CCTCCTCCTCCTCCTTCGTCATCTTTTTTTTTTTCCCCATCAAACCAACTCAAAATCGGCAGGTCCTCCTCCTCCTCCTCCTCTTCTTCTTCTTCTTCTTCTTCTTCTTCTTCTTCCTCCTCCTCCTCACTCCTTCGTTCTTATTCTTCTTCTCCTTCTTCCTCCTCCTCCTCCTCTGTTCTTCCACTTCTTCTTCTTCTTCTTCTTCTTCTTCTTCTTCTTCTTCTTCTTCTTCCCCTTTCGTTCTTCCACTTCTTCTTCTTCTTTCTCCTCCTCTGTTCTTCCACTTCTTCTTTTTCTTCTTCTTCTTCTTCTTCTTCTTCTTCTTCTTCTTCTTCTTCTTCTTCTTCTTCTTCCTCCTCCGTACTCTCTTCCACGACATCATTGCGGGTGGTGGCAAGTCTGGAACGACGACGGGTGCAACAGCAGCAGACCGAGGAAAGGGCAAAGTCGGAAACATCCACAACACACCCATTTACCCCCCCTGTCAACCCCCTCGAACTTAGGTCCGTTTATCAACAGTTCATGGGTGTATCATTCAGCCACATGGGCTGAGTGAATGGATGTGAATTGCAGCTCAAGTCACACACGAGTTCAGCCACATGGGCTGAGTGAATGGATGTGAATTGCAGCTTAAGTCACACACAAGAAATTCAAGAACACCTTTTTTTTTTTTTTTTTTTTCAATTCAGGATCTTCAGATGCACACCGCGAAATAAGATTTCCAAGTTTTTCAGTATCATATTACTTGTTGAATTCTGTTTAAGTTCACTGCATTTTTCATCCTTCGGGCATCCGTTAAAATTGGAACGATACAGAGAAATAAGATTAGGATGGCCTCTGCTCAAGGATAGCAAGGGTGGGGCCTCTGCGCATAAATCAAGAAATGTACTGGTCTGGTAGGCTGAGCCTCCGAATTTTTTGTAAGTGACGAGTCTCTTTTTCAGCAAGGGTGGGGCCGTGTACTGGGCAGTTACGGTACACTTGAAATGGTTCTTTGGTGGGAGCAGAGCAGTTTATACGGCGGCTGAAAATTCCCCCGACTACTCTTTTGGCCCGGAAGGACAGGCCCCTTGGGCGGGAGGAAGTGGGGGAGGGTGGAGAAGGAAGCGATTGGAGGAGTGCATCAAGAGATAAAGAGAACCCTTTGCACTGAGCCTGAAATTGCTAGGTCAGACTGGGGACACGTGTGTGGCTGAGTAGCCATGAATCTGGTCACGCTAGCACTAGCTTGGGTCACAGGTTCATCCATGCTTTATTCCTTCACAATTCAAAAATAGCATCTGCACGGATCAAACGCTGAGGTCCCATTGGCACACAGTGTGACAAAGGCATATGAAACTCTGCTTATATATCTACATACACATTTGATGTATATGTATATAGTCATGCACATACATAAGTTAACCAAGACACAAACCATGGTTGCATACCCCCCGACCGCCCGCCACCTTTTTCAAATCTGAGTTCAGGGCTATAATGCCCTTGCTCAGTACAGCCCAATCCGCCGAGATACTTTTGTGTGTGTGTGTGTGTGTGGGGGGGGGGGGGGGGGGGGGGG